GAATTTGGCTACAGGTTATAGGATCCAGAAAAGAAGAACATATCAGAAGTAGGGATGTGATTTTTCATGAAAATCAAAAGTTAGCATATTTCGAGAAACCTGGGAATCAAAGACGTGTCGCTAAGAGTGTTACTAACCTTACACCTATCTCTTTGCCTCCATACAGTTCTACTCAGGGGGTAGAGACACATGTTGATAGTTATACTGATGAGCCAGCATGGGTTGATAGAGATGTTGAGTAGGGAGGACAATCAACTACATCGGAACCCCAGGTTACAATATCTACCAGGAAGTATAATCTATCAACTAGGTATCCTATATCAAATTATGTGTTGATAGCTAATAAAGGAAAGCCAGAATGCTTTCACGAGGTACAATCTCAAAAGGACAAAAAGAGCTAGATGAAGACTATGCTGGAAGAGATGAATTTTTGCAGAAGAATTACACTTATGAGCTAGCAGAGCTTCTTAAAGGTAAAAAGACATTGAAAAATAAATGGGCGCTCAAACTGAACAAAAGATGGTAAAATGCTGGTAAAGTATAAAGCTCGATTGGTAGTGAAGGGCTTTGATCAGAAGAAAGGGATTTACTTCGATGATATATTATTTCCAGTAGTCAAAATGAGTTTCGTTCGAGTGGTTTTGGGTTTTGTAGTAGTTTGGATCTTGAACTTGAGCAGTTAAACGTGAAAAACGTCTTTCTCCATGGTGATTTGGAGGAAAAAATCTATATGGTTCAACCAGAGGGATTTGAAGTAAGAAGAAAAGAACATATGATTTGCAGGTTAAAAAAGAGTTTGTATGGGTTGAAACAGGCCCCAAAATAGTAGTATAAAAAGTTTAATTCCTTTATGGTGGGTCATGGTTATACTAGGACAGGTACGGATCATTGTCTTTATGTTAGAGAATTCTGGTAATTTCATTATCGTTTTGCTGTAAGTAGATGACATGTTGATAATGGGGCAAGATATTAGGTTAATCACCGTATGAAGGCAAATTTGTTCAAGTCGTTTGACATGAAGGATCTTGGACCAGCACGAAAAAATTTGGGGATGCAAATTCTTCGTGATAGGAAAGCTAAAAAGTTATAGCAATCACGGGAGAAATATGTAGAAAGAGTGGTAATAAGGTGACTTGTCCTTCTAAGAAGGAAGATAAAGAAATAATGGCAAAGATTTCTTACTCCTCTACAATTAGGAGTTTGATGTATGCTATAGTTTGTACATGATCAGACAATGCCCATATAGTTGGGGTGCTCTGCAGGTTTCTTGTTAATAGCATTAAAGATCATTGAGAGGCATTGAAATAGATCTTTAGATACTAGATAGGTACTTCAAAGATGTGCTTGACTTTTTGTGGCTCAGAACCAATTTTAGAGGGCTATACAGATGCATATATGGGTGTTGATCTTGATGGTAGGAAATCAACTTCATGATACTTGGTTACTTTTGCAGGGGGAGCTGTCTCGTGGCAGTTAAAACTACAAAAGTCTGTTGTCTTATCTATAACTCAGGGTGAGTATATTGCAGCAACTGATTCAGTGAAAGAAATGCCTTGGATGAAACAGTTTCTCCAAGATTTGGGCTTGAAGCAAGAAAGGTATGTAGTTAATTGTGATAGTTAGAGCGCATTAGACTTGAGAATGCTACTTATCATTCTTGGAAGAAGCACATTGATATCATTGGTTACGACAAGTAGCGACAGAACAATTGATATTGTTAAAGAATTCATATCGAGAAGAATCCAGCTGATATGATAATAAAGGTTGCAAAAAGAAAAAAGCTTGAGCTTTGTGCCGGACTAGCTAGCATTGACTCTAACTAATCTGTTAGAGGATAATCTCCTTCCTCGGAGGGCTGGATGGTGAGATTGTTATGTGGGCTTGATCTAGCGTATGAGGAAATTAAAAGCCCAATCCACTATTATGTCTTGTAGGTCAACATATGAGAATATATTTGTTTTCTTCTTCTGATCGTGGTTGCACAAGAGTGAAAATGAGAGAGAAGGCTACTACGGGTGGAAAAATAGAAAACAGAGATTGCTATATGTTAAGCCCATTACAGTCTTGCCAAGCCCATTTAGATGAAGGTTATTTATGTCATTATGATTTTCCCTCTTCATCCTTTAGGCGTGAGCTTCTCCTTCAGCTCGTGTATAAATAGGGCATTGCTAGTATCATTTTGTAATTGAATTTGTTTAATCATGTGACACCCCGAACTTAAGCTTCGTGTGTCACGTACTAACGTAATAATTTCAGCCTTTGTTACATGTAAAAACTCTAAATAAAATGTAATGCATACTAGGCACCTATTTGTAATTTATAGTAAAATATCTCTATAAAGTTTAATGGCCAGCAAGAGTGCGTGCCGACTTGAAATTATTCTTTACATATGCGGA